CATTGAAACAAAAAAAATTGAGTTCATCAAAACCTTAGTATACTACTTTACGAAGAAAATAAAGTGTAATGCACAAAGTAGTGAACATAATTAAACAAACCTTTGACTCGGGTTGCACAAGGTATTTTGGTCATGGAACAAAACTTTTATATGCATCCTCAACTAATGTGAATTCTCCTGTTTTATGGGGCAGAAATGCTTGTTTTATTACCACTTCATCAATGAAAACTTTATAGCAATCATCTTGTAGAGGAACTCCATGAATGAATTGTCTTTCTGATGATAAGTGAATGGTACCACGAGCAACGATGTTCCTTTTATACGGATGTGATAGAGTACACTTGATTGGCTACAATGATATGTAATATTAGAATCTGAAAAAAAGACAGAAATGTATATTCAACATGTAAAAACACTTACCTGGTGAATGGGTTTATTTGGTGAAACTGTTGGTATGTCAGGATTGATAGTGACAGTCTTAGAGTCAACAGCTTTTCTGGTGGGTTTTGTATTTGCCTAATATAAAGGTTTAAGACATATATGTAAAATTATATTTTAATATAAAAGATAAATTAAAAGTGTTGAAAACTGTAAAGTAAGTATATACTACTGTTGCAGATTTCATGGAAATCAATTGTGTATCGGGAGTTGCGGTTGTAGAGTTGGTTTGAACTTGTTTCTTGGTGGGTTTTGCAATAACCTAAATAAGTTAAAGTCCCAAGTGAAAAAACAGAAAGTAGTACCAAAAAAGTATATCAATGATTATCTTATAAAATGATAACATACTGGTGTTACAGGTTCTGATGGTTGCTTGGTTTTGGGACTAACAGGAGTTGTTTCACTACTTTCAACAATCTTGTCACTTGAAATACCCTAGAAAATATAAAAATACATGGAAAATGCCCTAAAAAAATGCAATTTACAAGTAACATTGAAAATACATGTTGTTAATAATATTACTTACAACAGTATGAGACAGATTTTGAAAGTCAGCTCCTTTTGCATTAAGATGAGCCAAAACTAGCTTTAGTGTTTGATCTTGTTCATTAACCTTTGTAGACAAAGCCTTGAGTTCAACATCTTTTTTCTCAAGCTCAAGTTTTCCATTATGCAGAGCAACTTCCTTTGAAATCACTTTCTCGTATGAGACAGTTTTCCTTTACACCACATAATTGACCTTGGGGGGCATTTCTTCCTTTGAAATCACTTTCTCTTCAATCTTGATAAAAAAAATTAAATTGTAAACAATATAAAGTAAAATTTTGTTAAGTAGAATACTATGAAGGTAATATAATGAATCATATAGCTAAAAACAAAGCTTACCAACTTCCGCCTAAGAGTAGTATACCCCCCTCGTCCCATCCGATGAGCGTACTTTGACATCTTTCGCGCTTTGACTGTCTTTTGTGACACAACCTGTCAAAAAAAAGATTTGTCAAGCACTTTTTGGTAATTTTATGATTAATAAATGAAGAAGTTTTGGGAAAAAGTTGTAACATTAAACTCTTCAGATTGTGTATATGTCACGAATTTGTTCCAATCATCTTTTTCAGTAATTATTGCACGATATCGAACAGGGATTTCTCCAAGCTTTTTGGAATTCCCTAGATGTGGCTTGATGTAAGTTGCATACAATTTCCTTCTAAAGTTTCATAGAAGGATACCAAGCCTATTCATCACAAATTGTTTTCCAGTTTCATGAACTTCAAAATAGCGCTAAAATGAAACAATAATGAATTTGTTAGTATTTAATACATGATTTGTAAATAAAATATGAGATGCAGTTAAAAAAAGTGAAAAAAATATTTACTGTAATCTCTTCCCAAAGTTTGTCCTTCACTTCCGGTTTTACTTTCTTCCAGCAAAGAGCACTTAATCCCACCTTCTCGCGGACAAGATCTCCCAAATAACTAACAAACACTTCATTATTCTTCCCTTTAAACTTACTGAATTCATCAAACTTGACACGTTTTTTTCTACCACCAGAATTGACATACTCGGTCTTCAGCTTTGGCAATCGAGTCAGGCCCCTCTTCCTAGGTGACCTTGTAGGAACTTTGCTTTGCATTTCTTCTTTCGAATCTGAATGGCTATTGTACTCAGTGTCATTATTTTCACCATCTTCTGTGTCCGATTCATAAAATTGGGTTCCATCATCTTGCTCATATTCCATATCATAGTCAGGCATATCCTCATGTTGTTCCTTGTTCACCTCCATGATTCTTCTATTGACATGAAACATATGAATTAAGTTTGATTATTTATATGTTTAATAAAAAAGTATGACTAACTTATATTACATACAAAATTTCACATACACATTTCATCGAACATTTGGTGTGCAACAAGCACAGTAATATGAAGAATCAAAAAATTTATGTTTTATGTATAATCCCCTAATCAATACAATCAATAACATTGACACCATATACATAGAATATACTTACAGTAGAAATGCGTGATAAATGTTCTCGAATGATGAACTGAAATATAATCCAACTGGGATCGATATAACCTAGAGAAAAACCATACAATGGTTGAAACAATCAAACTCTTTTAAATAATACATTGTTAGTACGTCCTAATTTGAGGGTGGTTACCAAATTTACCGGATTTTCCTTCATCTGATGGATTGATCTTCATAGTTTTGGCGGTGAGATGGATGAATACTTCCCGCGTTGATTTGGAGCCCAAAACAAAATGGAAAAAATGTTTGCCTCCCATTATATTTGCTTAATTTTGATTGACGAATTCAAATTTTTTCCAAATTTTGATCTGATAGTGAACTCACACGATGAGAAGCGTAAATCGTGGTTTGGATACATGTTCTGGCTTTTGAAACATTATTACGAGTTGTTAGATATAAATAGAAATGTTACAACTTTGGTCCTTGTAAATTAACAATTTTACGTTAGGATACAACTATATCACTATTGGAAATGAAAAATATTTAACATTTAATTATGTATATATAATGGGATAATAGTATAATAAAACGAAAATAAGAATAAGGTCTAGTTAGCGTACTAATTTTTCTGTGTGAACACTTTGTTAAGATTTTTTATTTTATTTTATATTAAGTAAGAAAAAATCCATACACCTACTATAAACCCATTTCGGTCCTAAACCCGTACCCATATTAGAAACCCATTTTGGTTCCAAACCATTACCAACACCCCTACATGTCCTAAGGATGGTCAACCCGTACCAACACCCGACCACCTGCAACCCATACCCATGTTATAAACCCATTTTGGTCCCAAACCATTACTAACACCCCTACATGTCCTAACGATGGTCAACCATTACCAACACCCCTACATGACCTAAGGATGGTCAACCATTACCAACACCCGACCACCTGCAACCCGTACCCATATTAGAAACCCATTTGGTCCCAAACCATTACCAACACCCCTACATGACCTAAGGATGGTCAACCATTACCAACACCAGACCACCTGCAACCCATACCCATATTATAAACCCATTTTGGTCCCAACCCATTACCAACACCCCTACATGTCCTAAGGATGGTCAACCCGTACCAACACCCCTACATGACCTAAGGATGGTCAACCATTACGAACACCCGACCACCTGCAACCCGTACCCATATTAGAAACCCATTTTTGTCCCAAACCATTACCAACACCCCTACATGACCTAAGGATGGTCAACCCGTACCAACACCCCTACATGACCTAAGGATGGTCAACCATTACCAACACCCGACCACGTGCAACCCGTACCCATATTAGAAACCCATTTTGGTCCCAAATCATTACCAACACCCCTACATGTCCTAAGGATGGTCAACCCATACCAACACCCGACCACCTGCAACCCATACCTATATTATAAACCCATTTTGGTCCCAACCCATTACCAACACCCCTACATGACCTAAGGATGGTCAACCCGTACGAACACCCGACCACCTGCAACCCATACCTATATTATAAACCCATTTTGGTCCCAAACCATTACCAACACCCCTACATGACCTAAGGATGGTCAACCCATACCAAAACCGTACATGACCTAAGGATGGTCAACCATTACCAACACCCTCCCACCTGCAACCCGTACCCATATTAGAAACCCATTTTGGTCCCAAACCATTACCAACACCCCTACATGTCCTAAGGATGGTCAACCCGTACTAACCCCGACCACCTGAAGCCATAACCATATTATAAACCCATTTTGGTCCCAAACCATTACCAACACCCTACATGACCTAAGGATGGTCAACCCGTACCAACACCCCTACATGACCTAAGGATGGTCAACCATTACCAATACCCGACCACCTGCAACCCGTACCCATATTAGAAACCCATTTGGTCCCAAACCATTACCAACACCCCTACATGACCTAAGCATGGTCAACCATTACCAACACCCGACCACCTGCAACCCATACCCATATTATAAACCCATGTTGGTCCCAAACCATTACCAACACCCCTACATGACCTAAGGATGGTCAACCGTACCAACACCCGACCACCTGCAACCATACCCATTTATAAAACCCATTTTGGTCCCAAACCATTACCACCCCTACATGACCTAAGGATGGTCAACCTGTACCAACCACGACCACTGCAAACCCATACCCATATTAATTAAAAAAATGGTTTTATATATTTATAATTAATTTATATATAAATTAATATTTTATATGGTAATAATAAAAACAAAGTAAGTATGGATGTTACACTTAATTAATATTATATATATTAATGTAAATAATATATTAATGTATAACACAATATCGATAATCATTATCACAGCCGTCGTTCAAATTGCACATCCCCTGTAGCCTGCTATTAATCGGAAGTGATGGCCTGCGTCGATATCCCTTCAGCTCCTAATGATGATCCATTTAAAGCCTCCCCTTATATCAAAATCGTCATACTTACATCTTCATTACCAACATACGATAGCTTCGATTATTTGCTCCTCCTCTGTGAAAACAACTCGGACGAACAATGGAAACAAAGATGAATGCTGATCCATGGGCAAATCTAAGGTTCCAACTCTGGAGTGTAAGCAGTGAACCGCCAAAAAACACACCATTAGTAGAGTATGGGAAAGCAAACGATAAGAGATTCACCATTAGAGTTGTACATGGCGGGTTTTTTACAGACTATCCAGGTAAGTCGTATCAAACGACAAAAGTTAACTTTATTTCATGTGTCAACATCGATTTGCTCAACATGGAGATGCTTGGTCGGTTTTCGAAAACTTGGGGTATACAACTATGGGTAACTGGTATCATATGCCAACCGAAGAAAACTGTGGGTTGTCAATGATTCCAATTCTGATGATGATTGTTTAGGAACTTCAACATGATCGTTAGGGCACACCAATTCCGAGAGATTGAACATCGTATGTTGAACATAGGCCTGTATTTGTTCCAATCAATTTCCCCACTTTTTGATGAACTCACCATCCAAAAGAGTTGAGAAGCTTATTCATCTGTTTGTAACAGAACACCGAATGGCAACAGTTGATGATGGAATAGCATACATCAGGCATATGCTAAACATGACCATTCCAAGAGAAAAAATGGAAGATGCAATAGACATGGCGAAGGAGAATGTGATAGCATGGAAAAACGTAGTGTAGGCGACCTATGTTGTACTCCATTTTGTGTTTAATACAGAGTACATATGAAACTCTTTTTTGTAAGCAATATGATGTTGTTTTGATTATAACTGTCTTAGGGGCAAAATGGGAAGTAATTCTAATTCTATTTTTATATTGTTATTTTTATTGTGTTTCATACTTATAACTAAGCCAGTATTGTCCCTGTTTTGCTGCATTGATTTGTAAAAAAAGCAATGTACTTTTCAACTTATTTCCACGTTAGAGGTAACTTATTGGTTAGATTAGTTAGTTTGTCCCATGTTTGTTATCAACATATGGAGATTATGCTAACGCAGGGGTATATCCGTCAATTATTTGTTATTATCATAAAACAAAGAAATTGTTATAATTTCTCATTGAAACTGTGTTTGATATATAAGGGTATAATGGTCATTCAGTATATATAATGAAAAGAAAAGGGAAACATCATCTTAGGGTATGCATCATCATAGTATTGATAGAAAAAAAAAGTTAATCTTGGATACATATATGATGTGCATAACTACAATTAATTAAACAATAAGAGTGTGAGAAGATTTAGGGGTATTTTTGTCATTTGTTTTTATTTCCAATTGTGAAGGCTAATTAAAAACAATGTGCAACCACAATTACGTATATTGTATCAAATGAGGAAAGTATGATTGATGGTAAATGTGTTTGTCTTAAAGCAGTTCTAGAGGAAACAGGGGTATTTTCGTCAAATGTTTCTATTTTAGTTTATTGTTATGTTTTTTTCGTAAACTAATAACTTACAAACAGCCAGTCACCCCAGTTGGTAAGTTTAAATGTAGTTAAAGGTATATTTTGCGATGGCCATGAGTTCGAACCCCATTAGGAACAATTTTTTTTTTCTATTTTTTTTGTATTTTCTCGATATATCGTTGATCATCCACACTTATTGCGTAGATATGAATTTTTATAAAATATGCATTCCCATCGAATCATTCTCTGCTTACTACAAACGCATTGCAACTACGTTTATACTTCAACCAGGAATTGATACTTCAACATGAAATTCATATAGGTACGCATACTACATTAATTTATACAAGGACATAAAAAACAATTACCTTCAGAATATTAATCTTTGCTATTTTGTTTGGTCATGTATCATTATATATTCTTCAATTAACAAGTATTTGGTTTCCAGTTATTGGATTTAATTGTAATGTGATCTTTTTCGTTTATGCACACCAACTGTTTGTTAAAATGCTTCAATGAACAAGAAACATATATTGCTTGTTGATGCTGTTATAAACTGAATATGGATAAGTCTTGGATGGGAGCCTACAGAACATCAGAAACGTATCTAAAGGGTGTTGCAGAATTTTTGAAATATGCAGTACACAATTACAGGATTTCTAAAAATATGGATCATGTAGATACCAAAAAAAAGATAAGAATTTCATGTCCATGTGTCAAATGTGTAAACCACATATCTCATTCGGTGAATGTGGTAGATGATCACCTATTCAGGATGGAATTGATCAAACAACACGAATTGGAATAGCATGGAGAAACAGAGGAACCACCCAGAAATTATTATATGAACATAATGTTGACTGGACACGTCATACGTTGTGATTCCACAAACATGAACACAAAATGCCAGCAGTGCTGCAGAAACAGTAGAGATGGTGGAAGTTGTAGAAGAAAATTTTATTGGGAACCCTGAGAAGTTTAGAGAACTGATTGAAGATGCCGAGAAGCCCCTATATAAAGGGTGTCCAAATTCACAAAATTATCTACAGTCATACAACTACTCAACTTAAAGAGTAAGTATGAAGTATCACATAAGTGCTTTACAGAATTATTGGTTTTGATCAAAAATATGTTACCAGAAGGTAACGAAATGTACAGTAGTACATACGAGGCCAAAAACGCATTCAAGGTAATGGGTTCAGGGTATACTAAGATACATGCATGTTTCAACAACTGTATACTTTACAGAAACGAATACACAGACATGACAGCATGTCCTACTTGTGGTAAATCAAGATGGAAGGTCGATGAACAAAAAAATAAAATTTACAAGAATATTCCTGCAAAATTTTTGTGGTACTTTCCAATTATTCCGCGCTTGAAACAACTTTTTCAGTCTAAGATTACTGCAAAAGATTTAACATGGCACGCAACAGACAGAAAAGGTGGATATTGGTGTTTTAATTCACCCAGCTGATTTGTTGGGTATGTTATGTTGCGTCATGGGCTTAGTATTGTATATCCGGATTGGGCCTATCCATCCGTGATTATTATAGGGTTTAGCTATAAATAATGCATGCATGTATGCCTTAGAAACTAACGTGATTATAGTTATTATTGCTTTGTAACCCTAAACACCTCTAAAGTTGAAGTTCTTAATCGAGCTCTTCTGAGGTGTTAAAGTTTAATCATTCGATATCAGTTAAACCATTCATGTGTTCTTTATTACATCTTTAATTGTTTTTCTGCTTAGAATCTATCGATCCTACTAGAACTTTGTTCTAACAATTGGTATCAGAGCAGGAGACTGTGTGATCAATACACATTCCTTCTGTGTTAAGAATTCTTTAGGGTTTCCGCTTTTATCGAATATAAAGAAGTCGTCTTCTTCCTGTCGACGGTAACTCTTGTGTTTGATAAAACCCTAATCTCAAGTTTACAGGTCAGATTCTAGCGGTTCTAAGGAAAGGCTCACCATGTCTCACGAAGATTCTCAAACTAATCCCATCAACATCTCTAACAGCATTGGATCCACTACAAGGGTTCCCATTCTTTACACTCAAGACTATGAAGTATGGGCGCATCACTTTGAAGATTACGTGGTTGGATCTGAAGATAATGGTTATCTCATCTGGGAAGCAATCACACTTGGGCCGTTTGTTCACTCTGGAACGAACACGACTGTGAAGACTCAAAAAGAATATATTAAGCTTGTGGCGGACGTAGATAAGATGCCACAGGATGAAAAGGACAAGTTGTTATGTAATGTGAAAGCCATGAGAATGATCAGATTTGCTCTGCAATCTGACACTTTTCGGTTAGTTGGTTCATGCACGACGGCTAAAGAAATCTGGGATAGGTTGAAAGAACTTTATTCAACCGATGAAGATCTAGAACACTCTATTCAAACCTTGCTACTCTCTGAATTTGGAGTTTTCGAACAGAAACCTGAAGAGAAACTGATACAAACCTTCGATCGCTTCAATCATCTCCTTAGCAAGATGATCAAGCATGGTATAGAAAGAAAATTGATCGAGCAAAAGGTAACCTTCATGAATGGTTTGAGACCAGAATGGATGGCAGTGGTTTCAACAGTGAAAGCTCACGAACAATTCAAATCTTACTCACTAGCGAAACTTGTGGGCATACTTAAATCCCATGAGAGTGTGGTAACCAAGGAGGCGAAGGTAGTTTCGGGTGTGGGATCGTTAGCCCTTGTCTCAAAAGGCAAAAGTGTTGCAGAAGAAGAGGAGGAGTCAGATATGTCTGAATGTGACCTTACAAGCGAAGAGTATGCAATGATGGTCACCAATCCAAAAAGGTTTGCACGAAAGAAGTTCCCTGTCAATAAGAACCGAAACTGGCAGGGAAGTTACAGTTCTGAGAAGGTGAAAGATGAAGCGAAGAATACTTCTCAAAAGGATGACGACAAGAAGGAGAGCAAGCTTGCAGGAGACTCTGGATTCGACTGCAATTACTGTCATGGCAAGAACCACTTTGCCAAAGATTGCATGCTGAGGAAGATGGCTGAGAAAAGAGATGGTGAAGATGATGAGGCGTATTACATGCGAAAGTTGGAAGAGATCAAGAAAAAGAAGGCAACTAACAGTTCAATGAATGCCTTGATTGTGCAGGAAAATGCGGATGAAGATGAGTTCGGTGGCGTTGAAGTCTGGTCAACCGATTCTGAGGATGAAGAAGTGAGAAAGCCCACACATGGAAGAGCTTATGTGGCAAAGGATACTGGTTCGGCTGGAAAATGTTTAATGGTTACAATTGGTAAACCAACCGAAAGTGAGTGTAAGGAGCCGAACCTGACTGAGGACAAGTGCTTTGCAGCCAAGCCCGTGAGTGAGAAGATCAACGACTGTGATCGGCTGATCAAAAAGGTACAATCCATCCTTGAATCACTTAAAGTTCCAGTAACAAATTATGAAGAAGAATTAAATGAATTAAAATTTAAATTTTCTAACTTAAGTGGTAGTCTCATGCAAACTCGCTTAGCGAACTCTAACCTAACTGACCAACTCAGCAGGGTGTCTTCAAAGAGTGAGGAGAGAAGGATGTGGATTGAGCTGAAGGAGACGGAGTTAAATAGGGCTAGGGATGAAATTATTTATTTGCAACGAGACAATTTAAAGTTTTTGAAACAAAGGAATGTTTTTTGTTTAATTGCTAAACGCTTATATACAAATATTGCTCAGTTGCACTTAAGTTGTGAAATAGGGAAAAAGATTCATAAGATGATCTTACCCTTCCTTGAATTTAAGGAGGATGAGGTCATCGCTGAATGTGAATCCATAATGTCCTCAGAAGAGACATCCATCGCTTATAAAATCGGACTGGACAAGATAGAGACCTTCATTGACTCTAAGGAACATAAGTGTATGCTCAAAAATCTTTTAGATGAAAATGATAGGTTAAAAATTAAGTCCGCAACCATTCAATCATTTGACTCGTCTAACGCCAAATTAATTTCAGAACATAAAATGAATATAGAAAATACGTCTGAATTTGATGAGGAAAGTGAGATGAGCGAAATCTCGGTAGAAGACGTGGTTGATTGTTCTGAGTTTATGAAAAGCGAAACCGAGAATGAGAAACCCCTCATATCTGAAAACTCGGTTGAATACGCTCGCCTGTCAAAGGACAAGCCACAGAAACTCAAAGAGAAAGCAATGGTTTATCAAAAGGTTCAAACTGTGCCAAATCAGGTATATGCTGTTACAGGGGTCACTGCAAAACAAACAGCAGAATTGAAAATCTTGGTCGACAAA